TTTTTTTTACTTACTAATATAAGTAATATCACTGGGCCCACACGTTAATATGATATTAATTAGATAGATAAATTACGTAAATCTTTCCTAACAAAATACGTTCCAATATTGTTAACCAATTTAATGGGATTTTGTTAACTAATTTGATAGGATTTTGGTAACCATGGGATTTTGTTAGCTTTTCATGGAAACTCTTATCTTCATTATTGATAAGGTTTTGATAAGATTTTGTTTCCAATTTTTTTTGTTTTTTATTTCCACTCTCGAAAATTTGATAAGGTTTGATAAGATTTTGTTTCCTTTTTTTTTTCTCTCTCGAAAATTTGAGTTGTGGATTTGAAAATTAAAAATAAAAATAAACATATCATATTGATAAAGCTTTAGTGTGGGCATAAAAATTAATTTTAATTTGATTGAACTTTGTTTCATATAAACCTAAGAGAATCAGACGTTTGAAAAAATAAAATATTAATAGTAAATAATCATACCATATTTGTAAGGTTTGATTTGGAATATTGAGGCATAAAAATCAATTATGATTTGGTCACATTTTGTTTTATAGAAGCTATCTTAGAAAATTTTACACGTTTCAAAAAACTAAAGATTATATTTTCGTAAATTAAAGTTTTGGATTTGTCCAAAGAAATAGAAAAATATCAAAATAAAAATATTATTTTTCAATTTATCCAAAAAGTCTTACCAAATTTTATTGTAACAAACTCCATTATTTTTGGCAACATAATCTTCTAAATATTCGTCCGTCTCTCACAAGTGAATCACGTTCCACATTTTTTTTTATTTTTTTAACAAAACTGATAACACATATTTTTAGAAGTCAATCATAATCATAATAAAAAGAATCGGATCGGATCATATTAAATACCTTACGTAAATATTTTTTTTATTTCCCGGGCATATGGCACATACACATGACTATATAAACATCACCAACGTTGAATAAAAAATATTCGACATCCAATACATCCCACAAAACAAATTTTTCTACAAGGTTTTACATCACCATTGAAAATGGCTTAGGATTTTGGAGTAATGAAGGATATCAAAAGATCCAATAAGCCACCAATCAAGCTACGCATAATTAGGATGTTCCAACGAGTTGAAGACGTATGCAATTACCAAAATGTTCTTAAGATTATCTTTCACAATTTTGAGGTAATATAATCTTTTATTATTATTTAAATGCATCATTTTATGCAATATCTTTTATAATTTATTTATTGAATTATTCATTATGTAATGTTTTAGGGAGGACGAATTACTGGCATAATTCAACATGTCAATATCCAAAAATTCATCGGCCATATTGAAGAAGGTAGCACTTATATCTTGACAAACTATCAAGTGGAAAGCACTTGGCATCTATAAATCGACGATATGAAAATGGAGGATCATTATCAATGGTTAAACCAAGATTATCAAATGGAGGGGTGATTTTCCTATGTATCGTTTTGACTTTAGGAACTTTCTAACTTTAATAGATGTTCGTAACATTGATGAAGTCATGTTGTTTGGTACGTTATAATTTTTTTGTTTATTTCTTATTTTGAATTTTTTTTAATTTAAAATCTATAATAAACTATTTTATATGTTATACATTTCAATATGATGCATTTTCTTATATTTTTATAGACATTATTGGATTGGTTGTTTTCCATTATGTTTTTCTACGCCATGACTATAAATAAGCTCCAGGAACAATCATTATCGCACGTGGACTTAGTTCTTAAGAAGTGTTTAGTCATGCCCAATTGTATGTTGCTGTCTCCCGTGTCACAAAAAAAATAGGTTTGAAAGTCCTAATTTGTGGTGACGATGACGTGCCAAAGAATCAAACCATGAACGTTGTATATAAGGAAGTGTTCAATAATATATATATTTTATTTTCATTGTATTTATTAATTTATTAATTATTAATGGCATGATTTTTCCTTTAGTAAGTACTTTGAATTTTAACTGAACATTGCTTAACAAAAGGGACGGAGATAATAAACCCTCGTGCATCGCACGGGGACTGTACTAGTACATATAATAAGAATTACCATTTAACAAAAATAGCAACAAAAAAAATAGGAGAGAATTTAATGCAACCTATAAATAGTAAGTTTTATTATTTTTTATTTTTACCTTTAAATAATCACACAATATTAAATGTTGCATTAAATTTTGGGCTTTAATTCATTTTATTATATAAAAATTCCAGCTAAGATCTATTAAGTGTGCATTTTTCATTTTTCATAGAAACAACGAAAAACATTAAAATCTCAATCTCTACTTTTATAAAATCTCAATTCAAAAGGTAATAAAAATTATAGAATATCGGTCTTTATATTTATGCCTTTCAAAAAATTATTGAATGCTATTCTTTAAATATTATTTTCCACTAATCATCACATTTTTTTTTCTATTTGGAACGTGTAATAATAAACTTGGTAACGTTTATCAATTCTTTTTTAACTAATCTATTGTTTTTTTTTATACTCGGTTTCAAAAGGTAAAATAATTTTCAAAATTGTGCATTTAAAAAAATATATTTAATGATAATATGTTATTTGTTAATAGTACACAATTTTGGAAACTCCATTATAAATTGTGTGTTGATATTCAAATCATTTTATAAATACAATCGACTTTGTTAAGTCTCCACGAAAATATGATAAACAAAATGAGACGATCAACTTTGTATGAAAATAAATAGAATCAATAAATCAATATGAAGTTCACACGAAATTAACATAATGAATAATTTGTATAGTACAGATCTAAAAAATAATACTCATGTGGATTCTAAAATTCAAACTTATACTTATCATCATCTTTTGGAAATTGAATAATATATTGTAGGAAAGATATTTTTAAATAATTTTAACATGTTTTATTTATAAAATAGCTTAGAAAAATTATAGGTGACTTCACATCTTTCAATAAGGATATATAAAATTTTAGATACTTTACATACCTTATATAATATTTTAGGTGTTTTTAATATTTTAAACATACATTTTTTATGTTATTTTATACAAGATAATTTTATATTGTTTACATTTGATATACGATAAATTATGTCACATATTAACTCCACATCTTAATTACAATTATTAGTTGATATTGTTTACCTTCATATTTAATTTATAATTATTAGTTAATACTGTTTACTATCATCTTTAATTTATAATTATTATTTAATATTATTTACCCATGCATCGCATGGGCTACACACTAGTTGAAGATCAAATGAGTTGTTGTGGAATTCCAAGCTTTTATTCATTTATGTGTAAAACAAAGAAAATGTACTGGTATATGTGTATTTTGGCCTCTCTTCTTTTGGTTAAAAAATAATTTTAATTTTGGACTTCAAATTATTGATACTTAATTTTAATCACCTTGAATAGTACAACAAAAGCGAATCTCAAGACAACTATGTAGAAGTAATATATATATTTCGAATTTGTCTTAGGAAATAAATTATAAAAATAACCATAGCCATATTAGTTATTTTGTGTTTTTTTTTATTTGTAGGAATTTCATTATTAATTTGATGCGATTCTCTGTATTAAAAGAAAAACTATCTAAATTTTCAGTTTAGTAATGTAGATTTATATTCATTTTATCAAGTTATGTTACTTTTATTAGTTTTCATTTTAAAATGAATTTGTAAGTGTTGTTATGTTAACAAAAGTAGTCTATTGAGTGAATGCAATGATCTTTTCAATTTTACTTTCTTGTAAGTGCTAAAAATTTTACATTGTTATTAATGAGTTTTACAAGTTAGTTGTGATATTTATAATGACCAATTTTTTTTTAATAAAAAGTACTGAATATATATGTATCAAATTTTAGGTAAAAAATTTATTAGATTATATAATCTAGTATTTTATTTTATTATTAATGCAATTAAACGATATTTATCTTAAAAGATTAACATATACTCTATAAGTTTATATTGTCCATTTTAAATTTATATTGCAATAATGAGATGTTAAATATAAATAATTATGTTTAAAATAAAATTCTAAAAAAAGTTTTAAATAACAAGTTCGTCAGAGCATCACTCGGGATGCCCACTAATATTATGGTATATTGTGTTACATATAAACGTTTCTTCCTCAATCTAATCTATGCAGTATTATATTTATTAACCGAGTCACTTTTTTTCAGAAACATAATAAAAAACCGAAATAATATATGTTATCAACAATTTATAGTAATTAATCATGCCTGGTTGCACTTGTTAATAGGGACACGGAATCATAATCCTTTTAAATCAAAGTCCTACAATACCTAACATCTCAACTAAACAAATTTATCCGTGCAAAATTTTATGAAAGAAATCCTTTTTCAAAATAGACCACCTAGAGAATCAAATTGCAGCACTGCGGTCTATTAATAGTTTATATCATGATTTGTTTATCTCAATAAACTTTGAAAAAGATTGCCATAAACCTAATATAACATCTGTAACCAGAACTAGTACACTTTCAACCATTTTTCAAGAGCTGCTCGAGCCGAAACCCACGGGAAAATAAATCAACAAATTGCCATATTTATTTTAATATTTCAGTCATTAAATAAGTAGGTGAGATTAGTAAATTGGTGATTTTAGGAGTTGGATCAAGAAAGAACAATCCTATCACAATTCACAAACGAGGCCTTAATGTATTATTATTATTATTATTTTTTTTTTCCAAATACAGAGTGGCTCTCTAACAAAGAAAATACAGAGTGGCCAAACATACGTTCCATGAAAATAAAGAAAATACATAGTGCCTCTCTAACCAAGAAGTTGAGAGCCAGAGTCTCCTAAAGTTGAAGAAAGCAAAATAAAACCCAGAAACTAACAGCAATACATGAAGTTGGTGATGAAGAAAAAAAAACAACTAAAAGTCTGAGGCACCCACACAAGTAAGGGAATGTTTCCATATTCTTACCCTACCAATTTTCATTGAATCACATTTGAACTGCACATAAAGATTATAGTCTCTCTATTCCACGTCCCTGCCCATAAACAGTAATACTAATGTGAGACTGCAAAAAAAGTATAAGCAGTATGCTCTGAGAGCATGAAGACAATTATCAGTCAAAACAGGCACAACAGCTATTATCTACAAAATGATCAGAAATATACGCATTAGGCCAAAACACCAAAAAATATCCATTAGGTTCAGCCTGATTAAGATTTACGAGTAACCCACCTGAGTTTCAAATTACAAACAACCCCTTGATATATTCACCTCTTTTCAAATGGCACTCTTGAAAGGGCAGCCTTTGTCTAACACTTGGATGGGTGTTTGTGGCACTTGGGGATATTTGCAATTTCGGAAGATATGTGGAGTTCATGTTAACTAGGCTAAACTTCCGGGCTACATCAATTTGAAATATAAACCACAATCTTAGAAGAAGAATTAATGCAGAAATATCATAATCATTTACCATTCCTCGTAGGATCAGTAACCTATATTATAAAAGGACAGTCAGACAAAAGAAGCAATCCAACCTTTGGGTTCACAACTACAACAAGGCATGAAAAAATAAATAACTCAGTCTTAGCCAGAAACCCCTCCTGCCTTTTCCTAGGCACAAAGCTTCTTACCGGTAAATGATAACCAGAATTTGCAATTAAAAGATTTGAAATATCAACTGCCAGAAGCTTACCATTCTAATCCTTCAACTATAAATAGAATCTTCCTTGCACAAATTGAATCTACATTAATTTACCATAAAGGCATCAATAGTGTAATTGCTACAGTACCTTGGCTATAATCTCAACTAACTCAGAGTATGTTGCATCATTAATAGAAGGCAGGTCATTTGCAGCCAAAACGACAACAACAACAATAACATACCCAATATATTCCCAACAGGTTGGGGTCTGGGGGGTCAATTGTACGCAGACCTTACCCTTGTAATTATACAAGGGTATAATTACATTTTTCCTAGCTGACAAGAAAGATAAAATGTAACATTACATTTTCAGATCACATTGCAAGTCAGTTAGAGTTCGAGCACAATTGGACAGTGCATGAAAAGGCATACCATCCTGTGCAAAAATTTCTGCCAGCTTCAAAGATAAGGAAAGAATTCTTGTTATGCAAACCTAGGGCAAAAGAATAACTATTTTACGTAGAGAAAATTTATTATAGTTGCACTTGGATGATACGAATGGGATATACTTCTTCTGTTTTAGGGCGTACGGTAAGGCAGACCCGTCAACTGTATAATGGTAGCAAATGTTTGCACACAAGCAGAGCATGAATAGGTCCAAAAAGGTAATTACCATATAAATCGTTTTAGAGGCTTTAAAAGAAGCAAGGCACAGTTGATCCAGTCCACAAGGAAATATTAAGTGGCAATGAGAATATATAATATGGAAATCACAAATTGAAATAGAAAACGAGATTTAAGGATTTGACAAATATTATCATCCGAAACAAACAAAAGGGATTTTTTATAATCACACAGCTCAACAATACAAGTATAAAAGTTATGTACGGCTGACATGGTAGGAGCATGCACATGAAAACATTCAACAAACCAAAACAATAAGTCCTTGTAAGATCCAACCTCATAGTGTAATAATTAATACTCCAAGCAGATGTAATCTTACAATAGTAAAGTTCTAAAGTAACAAATAGCCATTTTCCAAAGTTATGATTGAACTAAAAAAGATTTAGTTTCTCCAGGGTAGAAAGGCCATCCACAGAATTAAAACACAATACCAAATTATGAAGATTCTTCATGTAACTCTTCCAACTCAACGCACATCCAGTCTCTTTTCTCAAAGTTGAAATCATTCTAGAACAAGAAGATGTAGAGAAGTAGATGACACGGCACAATATATAGATAGGAACTAGACGGGATCTACAGATCAAATACAACAGTAGCACTACCATATATCTAAATCTAATACATAATGCAGTAGGTTCACATTTAAAACTAATCCTCATATTTAAAATTAATCCTGATTCAGGAAACAGAACACCTACAAAAAGCCCGAGGCACTTAACAGTAATATATGATATAAGGTGAGGTTGGTGATGAAGAACACTAGGCACCCACACAACAAGTCAAAAGACTTAACTCGGCTCACTCCTTCTGCTGCGAGGGACCATAAAATTTATCCAGCAGCCAAGGGTCATCGCAAACAGCAGCCACCCTATCACCACCCACACAAAGAGGTCCCACCCGAATCAGGTGGACCACTTGAGGGTGGACACCAATTTAACACCGTGTGGAGATTTAAAGCTGATGGGAAATACCAGGAGTTTGTCCTTTTCTTCGTTCAGTGCAGCACCGTGTGCATGTTGATGATGGCGGGTGGCGTCTTCATCGGATATTATCTCCACAGCAAGATTCATGGTTATATCATCACTTCTCTCGTCACGGTGACCTATATTTTGCTCTTGGCTACCAGAAGGCTGGTTGTTCATATGGACTGGAGTGCCTACAAAATTGGGAAGGAGACACACAACCTCCGTCTGGCTGCCAACTGGAGCGAGGTCCTGGTGAACGACGATCTGAACGCAACCCCCACCGTACAACTTAGTGGCAATGCTGGGAGGCTTGTGTTTGAAGCTGCTTTGATCCACAAGGCGTTGATCACGACCAACGCCTATGTGATAGCCAATGTCCGTGCTAATACTGCTGAGGTGTTTCTAATGCTGCTGCGGGTGTTGCTAATACTGCTGAGGGTCTTGCTAATGAAGCTAAGGCAGTCATCCCAACACCACTGGTATGACTGCGGAAGAGGTTGCCGAGGCGGCAACGAGGCTCGGAGAGAGGCTGCCGAGGCTCGACAAGAGGCCACCGATGCCTCGGCAGCCTCTTCCGCAGTCATACCATTGGTGTTGGGGATGACTGTCTCAGCTTCATTAGCAAGACCCTCAACAGTATTAACAACATCCTCAGCAGTATTAGCAACACCCGCAACAGGATTGGAAACACCCTCAGCAGTATTAGCACGAAAATTGGCTATCACATAAGCGTTGGTCGTGATCAACGCCTTGTGGATCAAAGCAGCTTCAAACACAAGCCTCCCAGCATTGCCCCTAAGTTGTACGGTGGGAGTTGCGGTCAGATCGTCGTTTATCAGGGCACCGTGCCAACTTTGGCAGACAGACGGAGGTTGTGTGTCTCCTTCCCAATTTTGTAGGCACTCCATTCTGATAGCCAAGAGCAAAATATAGGTCACCGTGACGAGGGTAGTGATGTAACCATGAATCTTGTTGTGAAGATAATATCCGATGAAGACGCCACCCGCCATCATCAACATGCACACGGTGCTGCACTGAACGATGAAGAGGACAAACTCCTGGTATTTCCCATCGGCTTTGTCTCCACACGGTGTTAATTTGGCGTCCACCCTCAAGTGGTCCACCCGATTCGGGTGGGACCTCTTTGTGTGGGTGGTGATAGGGTGGCTGCTGTTTGCAGTGACCCTTGGCTGCTGGATAAATTTTACGGCCTCGCAGCAGCAAGTAAAGGAGTGAGCCGAGTTAAGTCTTTTGACTTGTTGTGTGGGTGTCTAGTGTTCTTCATCACCAACCTCACCTCATATCATATATTACTGTTAAGTGCCTCGGGCTTTTTGTAGGTGTTCTGTTTCCTGAATCAGGATTAATTTTAAATATGAGGATTAGTTTTAAATATGAACCTACTGCATTATGTATTATATTTAGATATATGGTAGTGCTACTGCTGTATTTGATCTGTAGATCCCGTCTAGTTCCTATCTATATATTGTGCCGTGTCATCTACTTCTCTACATCTTCTTGTTCTAGAATGATTTCAACTTTGAGAAAAGAGACCGGATGTGCTTTGAGTTGGAAGAGTTACATGAAGAATATTCATAATTTGGTATTGTGTTTTAATTCTGTGGATGGCCTTTCTACCCTGGAGAAACTAAATCTTTTTTTGTTCAACCATAACTTGGTTGGAAAATGGCTATTTGTTACTTTAGAACTTTACTATTGGTGAGACGAAGATGAAGATGAAGATGACTGATGGTGAGACGAAGAACCCGCGTCGGTGTGAATCTCAGATGGAGATGAATTACGCCGTAAATATTTACAGATGAAGATGAAGAGGTCAAAGATGGCATATCAATGCTCACATCCGACATATTTTTTTATTTTTGCTTTTTTTTTATAATATAAAGAAGGAGGCTGCTATTCAAGATATTGATAAACCCTATATAAAGAGGTGGGCTGCTGTTCAAGATATCAGTCCCAACAAATTAGACCTACCTATTTAACCTAGGCTGCGATTTGACAAGGATTTATTTCATTACGATTAAAATCTAATATATTGAAATTATGGAAAATATTATTTATTTTATCTATTTAGATTTTCTTACAATCACATACAAAAATAAAAATGAGATAAACAGAAATTTTTCATATTTTTTTATGTTTTGTCTATATTCTTGTGTATTTATTTATTTTCTTGATAATTATGTCATAATTTGTTAAAAAAAATATAATTGGTGTTATTTTTATAGTTTTGAACTAATACATAGTTGTGTGATGGAGGAATAGAGATGTTAAATGGGTCATCTATACATATTGAAAAAAGATGATCAATAAATCATTTGTGGAAACTTTTAGAAAAAGTTTAGTCAACCCATTTAACTTCCTAATTAAGAAAATTCTCAAATTTGATTGATATTAAGTTACGGATTCTGTTTCCATATTTCAAGGGTCCGGTTTTTATTTAATGAAGCTTAAATTCTGAAATTAATTCTCATGTAAACGGGGGTTTTGAACTCTATTGATATTTAGTTTTAACAAACTAATTCCATATTTTATGGGTGTTGATACCAGATTCGAATAATGCCCATTAAAAGCTCCTCGGGAAGATTAGTAGAGATTGATTAGGCTAAGCGCCGAGATTCCGAATCGCGAGGAGTTGTTCCCAGGGTCACCTCGGCATCGGAATGACACCTCGGTATAATGAGTTCACCAAACAAACAGCCAGGGGAAGTGCAAACTCGTGAAGAAACCGAAGTCCGAAAGAACAGACTTCATGCCGACAAAGTGCGACGCCTGTCAATCAACTGACGGGCTGCCCATGTCGTTATCATTCCCTACGCACCTGCTTACGTCATAGTCGCCCCTATGTTGTCAATTCACATTAAATGCCTCCGCAACTCCTCAAAAGGCGTGCAGAATGTTACTATAAATAGCAGCATTTAATTCAATACAAGGATCCGATCCCGACACATTAAATTCGAGCATTAAACACTTCGGTTCTCCCCGAGACCGACCTCTTGTACTAAAAAAAAACCGATTTCTTAATCATTGTTACCGACCTCATGAAACGTAATACAAATCCTATTTTCTGCAACTTTTGCTGTTTTTTCATATACTAATTACGTTGTTGAATCCATTTATCAACAATGGGCCCGGAAATGATTTTTAAAAAGTTGAAATGTAAATGATTTTTGGACTATTTAGTTTGATTAATGAAGTTGAAATTCAAGTACATATCATTTCTGGTCCCATTTTTTCTTTTACAATTTTGAGCGAAATATTTAAAATATAATCAGTTTTTATTTCCTACTTTACGTGTCAAAAGTAAAATATGTGCCAATTTAAACATATAAAATATCAAAATGTTAATACAAAAACAAAAATTAAGAACGTCAACTAACAAATAGGATTTAATTGAAGAATTTAAAATGAAATAATTTAGTATTTCTTTTTTTGTTTTTACATATGAAAAGAAAACATGCAGCCAATTTGTAAAAAAATATATATTACAATAGTGAATTTTTGGATCAATATGAAACACTCGTCGCAATAATTTGGGAAAATCAACCTCCACTTTGTACATTACTCTTCCATACATATCCATATATATGATATCTTACAAAAGGAATTCTCATGCAATTTAATTCCTAATACAAGATAAATTAATAAAACCAACAACCACATATCCTATACGACTTGGAAAAAAAATCCTATTTATTAGGTATAATTTGTACCCAACTTTAATAATAAAATACGACAAATCTTGGAATAACAAAAATAGATAACTACTCTATCTTTTCGGTTAGTTAAAAACGTCAAGTCACATTTTTACTATTTCTTTTTACGTTTGGGAAAATTTGCGCCAGTTGTTTTNAATTATATATTATGCGTATCAACATGAATATTTTTTACAATTAATTTAGGAAAGTCAATATTCTACTTTGTACAAATTTCTTTGATACATATTAATATATATTAGTAGAAAGAGATCCTACACAAATTAAATTCATATGCAATTTAACAGGAACATTTATATAATTTTAGTACATATCCTTTTGAATCATTCTTTCCCGCTTCCAATATGTATGCAAAAATGCTAAGCAAATTTAATTCCTAAAACAATATAAATTTTAAAAAAGAAATAAACACATGTCGCATATAAATTTTCATAACAAAACCCTATATATTAGGAACAATTAGTGTCCAACCATTGAAATATAAACAACAAAATTTTCAATAAAAAAAGTATCCATTTTGAGCTTTGGCAGAATATTGAAAATATTAAGATTCTTAAAATAAGGAAATGTGTTTCCATGAAAATCCATTTTGAATCATTCTTTCTCATTTACAATATGTATGCAAAAATGCTAAACAAATTTAATTCCTAAAACAATATAAATTTTAAAAAAGAAACAAACACATGTCGTATATCAATTTTCATAACAAAACCCTATATATTAGGAACAAGTACAGTCCAACCATTGAAATATAAACAACAAAATTTTCAGTAAAAAGAGTATCCATTTTGAGCTTTGGCAGAATCTTTAAAATATTAAGATTCTTAAAATAAGGAAACGTGTACTCATGGAAATCTCAATCTAAAATCTTTTGAGATAAGTATTTTACAATAAGTATATATATAATAGAATAACTGGACAATAAAAAGGTTGTGCTAAACGTACGCAATTAGTCTGTCATGGAGTTCTACTGATCATCAAATTTATTAAATCTTCACTAATTTTTTTATTATATTATTATTAATTTTTTTTTTATTAATTTTGTAGGTTTGTGATTACTCTACAAATATCATACGCATAGGAACAACAATGGCCTATTCGATTGTAAGCAGGTACTGATTAATATTTTTGTATTATTTATGAAATATTCATAGCTATTACTGCATTAATTCTCACATCTTTTTTTCTACTCTCTAATAATTTTTTTAGACTCGGAAGAACTCTGCTAATATCACAGGCATATCAATACAACATTGAGTTGTTAAACATGGGTAATAGTAAGGATATAAAACATCAGAATATACATTTTTATTATTTTAAACAAATCTAAACAATCCAAGATTCTCAAACATATCAAATTTGTATGCACAAATATCTCATTCCTCTCCCAGATAAGCATGAACCAATATGCATATTTATATATCATATATAAGAACAAAATCCTGTTTCTTTTCATGCGAGGTAATCAAACATATTTTGGTTTTGCAAATCATCAAAGATGTCTTCTAAACTATACATGCATTACTTCTCATGATTTGTTATTATGTCTTTTTTTCAGAATCCGTAAAAATCATACTCAGATTAACACAACAATCAATTGATCAACCATGGATAATAAAAAGGATGTAAAGCGTGTGAACAACAAAGGTCGAGGAAATAAACACATAAAAGCATGCAGAGACGAAAACATTATGCCAGGTAATTGATTTTAAACTATAATTTGGAACGTATAATACGAATAAGATAAACAAATAACCAAATACCTTCCTTACCTTCGTGGTTCTAAATTTTCTTCAATTTATTTGTTGTGCAGACCCCAATTTATGCTCCGGAGAGTACATGTCACATAACAAAATTTATAAAAATTATACATCTACTTCACTTCTTTTTTTGTATTGATTTATCAACATTTGAACTGAGCATGGCTCTTTGTTATTGTATATTTAATCAAATCGAGTGTAAGATACTGACTGAAGATCACGTTGGCGAAAAGTGTTGCTTCTTAGAATTGCTATAACTCATTCCGATGTCAGAATTGGTTTCATACGCCAGACCGTAAACAAGAGCCAAAGACAATCGTTATCGCATGTCAGTTTATTTCTTAAGAAGCCAGCGTTCAGTCATGGTCAGTTATACGTTTTTGTCTCTCGTGTTGTCTCCCGTGTAAACAACCGAAGTGGTTTCAAAATATTAGTTTGTGTGGACGATGACTCGCCAACTAATCAAACCAAAAACCTTGTGTACAAGAAAGTGTTCAATAATATTTGATTTTTTACATTCTTTGCGCCCCGTATTATTAAATATATAAAAACTCTACTAAACTTATTATTGCACATGTTATATATTCCAGAAATATATATCATCCCTTGCATCGCACGGGTCGCAACTAGTTTTTATATGATATGTCTGTTTTGACCATCAAAAATAAGTTGGATCGTCCATTTTTCATCTCTTTTAATCAATGTTTTCTTTAACAGAACGTTAAATTTGAGTTTGTTAAGGCTAGCATGTAAGTTAAATAATATATTATCTCGCTAACACGTATATATTAATATAAATTTAATTTTAATATATATTTATTTTTTGATATAAAAAAAAAAATTATTTCCACTCCTACTTACTCTTTCAACATTAATAGAGCAGTAAGAGAATTCATTTCTTCCTCTAGAAGGTTGAGGCAGGAGATCATATATCCCCTTACCTCGTTCTCCAAGTTTCAGAGGTTTTATCCTGCTGGTTAATTCTGCTGCTGAAAGAGGGATGTATAGAGGATTGATAAATTCAAGAGCAGACCCTGCTATCTCACACCTCCTTATTGCAGATGATTCTCGGTTCTTCTGTAAGGCTGATTCCTATCAAGATGTTCTTATCACAAGTCTGTTGAAGAAATGAAATTTATTTACAGGCCAGAAGGTGAATATGAGTAAGTTGTTTTCTTCATAAGGAAAACTTCAGAGCAAGTGAAAGCAAACATTTGTGAAACCCTTGAAGGAATAGTGGCTCACCATTCAACACAAGATATCTAGGCTTGCCACTAGGAATTGGGAGATCCAAGAAGAAGGCATTTGGTTATATACTGGAAGTTGTGAAAACAAGTTCCTCAACTCACCTGGCAAAGAGGTACTTATTAAAGCAGTGTTAAATCCATTGCGGTGTTCGGAATGTCTTTTCCAATCACACTTTACAAAGAAAAGGGGAGCAAAGGGGATGAACAGAAGAGGGGAATTCACTGGAGAGCCTGTAACAATTTAACAATTTAACACTACCTGGGGACTAGGGACTAGGGTTTTAGGATATCTGCTTATTCAATGAGGCTCTAATTTGCAAGCGGAGAATTAATATTTAGCTAGATCTTCTGGTAAGTAAACTTCTGAAAGGCATATGCTTTCCTAATTGCTATTTCTTTGAATCCTCCAAAAAAAAATGCTTCCTGGTTGTGGAAATTTTGGATGGATACAAAGCATATAATTGAGGCAGAAGTCAAAGTTAAAATTGGAAATGGCTGCAAAAAAGATAAAGGATCGTAATTGAATTTTATCTCTGGGTCAGCTGAAACCAAATATGTTGTTGGGGAACAGAATTGAAGCAATTTGGGTCGGGGACTTGTTGACAGACAATTCTGGAATGAGAGTCTCCTAGCTCAGTTGTTTTTTGCAGAGCTATTATGCAGATTGATTCTATAGACCCCGACAAAAGGATGAATGGAGTTGGAGGCTGGAAAACAAAGGTAAGTTCTCAGTATCTTCAACTTATGCCTACCTGATTGAAGATAAAGTGCAGAGGATGGATGTACCTGAAGGTAGCTCAACAGCAGTGAAGGAGAAACAAGCCAGACTGAGGAGCTGGAAGCTGAGGATTAAAGGTAAAATAAAGAACTTCATCTAGAGATGTTTCTTTGGTATTTTACATGTCAACTTAAACTTGAAGAAAATAAGCTTGGAGATTGAGGTATTGTGCAAAGGTTGTGAAGAGGAGGAAACAATCAATTGAGCCCTTGTTCTTCAGATACCAGAGAGCAAAGAAGGTCTGGAGGATAACCCCAATCAATTGGGATGACATCTCAGGGGATGAATGCAACTTCAAGAACTAGTGGTGGCAAATCTGTGCTCTAGATGGATCATAAAAATTTTAGGATAAGATTCAATTGACCACCCATATACTTTAGTGTTGTGGAAAACCCGCAACTTGTGGATGTTTAAAGGATTATGGATGTCAAAGAAGATCTTGATCAAGGAGGCTCTTAAGGAGTGACAAGCATTTTAACATGTGAAGGGTTGGAGTGTTTAGTGTAGATCAATTCAATAGCACAAAAATAATATTAGAAAATTCAATATTAGAAAATAATAGGTAGACAAAAGCTTCTTTTACTAATATTGTTAAGTTGAGACAACGTGAAGATCATTGTCCGACAGAACACATGAAGATCTGACAAAGGAAACAAAAGTACAAAAGATCATTGTCCGACAGAACACATGAAGATCTGACAAAGGAAACAAAAGTACAAACTGAATAATTGCTTTCAGAAAATTTATACTCTTTTTTCCTCACACAGACCTATTCGTTGTAAGAGGTTGGACCAGAATTAAACTTACTTTGTATCTTATAACTGTTAAGCCAGGTAAAGAAAAGAACATGCACAGACATCACACCTTTGAAGAAGTCGAAAGATAGAAATAAAAGCAACCAATTCATATGAAAAAGTCCAGTTTCCTGAGAAGCTCCATTGAATAATACCACTCTAAATTCAATCCTTCTTAACAAACAGTTAATAAACCCCACTTCTTGAAATATGAAGACTCGGGAAAATAATAATCACAAAACTCTTCTCCAAATTTTCAATTTGTATTTTCCAGTCAGATAAAATGATAAAAGATCCCTCTTTTGGAAAAATAAGAAACAAAATAAGAACCAAAGACAGTCCAAATTAAAATCTTGAATAAACACTAGCATCAATCTGCACCCATTCGTAAATATTTGATTGCTACATATAACATCAGAACTGAGAAAAGCAGAAAAGCAGGAAGAAAGAGAGTAATAAACTATATAAATTATATTGAACCCTCGTATGAAAGGATTGTGCTGTTGCAGAAGATATGAAACTAACCTTAACAAGGACCTTAGATTTTCCCATGACTTTGACAACTTCTCCCACATATGATCCAGGCTCCTGAAGAAGCTGAAACTCTTCCTTCACTTATCTCACTGTCATTAGGAAACAAATTGTTTTAATTGGAGATATATTCCCCATACCACGTCCTAAACAAATCTATAATGCATAAAATCTGCTTTATACCAAACTTTTTTGTATCCATCTTTAACAAGCCAATTTCTACCAATCCCACCTCAACAACAACCACATTAGGATAAGAATGTGGAGAGCCATGAAAAAAACATCATGCTTGGATGAACATAAATAGTGAAATCTAGTCATGGCACATATATACCTACAATGGAGCTTCAAACTTCCAGTCTAAGGCTACTATGAGGTCCAAATCTTCATGAGTAAAACTTGTTTTCAAATTTTGTTATTGTTGAACAAAAACCAGACAGTCCAAATAAAATAAGCCAGATACCAACCCTAGTGTGGAAGAATAGAAAAAATTCTCCAAATCAACATCCAATGAAACAAGAAAACTAAATCATTTTTTCAAAAGCAAAAAGAGGATCAACTAGCCAATGTAGGACAAAAATCCTATTCAAGATAAAATTATTGCCATACACCCATATTTTCTTAAGTTTCACCATCAAAAGGAATATCTTGCCAACACTCAAAACCTAATGTCTACTCAGCCTATTTTGAAAGCTTGAAAAAAAGTCCCACTCCAAAGCAAATTAACACCCAAAACATACAAGAAAATCATTACATAAACTACATAACAAGAAGAAGAAAAAAAAGCTGAAAAACTATTCCCCACGCCCTAGGGTTTCAGAACGGCAACAAGTAAAGTCCACATCCACAATTGAATCCATAGTGAGATGACAACATTAAAACATACCTCCGGCATTTACTTCATTGCGTTGAGCTTCTAATCGCTGCTGATCGTGAATCTCCTGACGGACTAGTAGCTGCATATCCTGTATGTGCTGCTGATAATACTGCCGGAGCCCTTCGCCGCCACCGGACACGGCGCCTTGCTGGTGGATCTGCTTCGAGTCATCAGGCTTCCGAGTTTCCACCGCCGCCGTCGCCATTCTGTATGATGATTCACCGCTTGGGCAGATCGCAGAATATAAAAGAAGGGTTTCGTCGCGGCCAAGTTATGCTGATGTCCGGTTATCATTTTCCAGTATGGACTCTCCTATTTTTTGCTGGATCTCATAGCACCTACAATGTTTTGGGTCTCTTTTTGTACATGTGCCAAATAAATAGACTTAAATCTGTAATGACATGGACAAATATTAAAAAATTCAAAATCTATCTAATGTAAGAAAAAAATAGTAAGTCTACAATACTTAACAACCAATAAAAATATAATAATAGTAAATGATTGCTATTGTAATGTTCACACTTGGGTCTAAAATAGACCCAAGAGTGGACTTGATCTCTTTTTTTATTGTCACATAAGCTAGACTAGGTTCACTTCTAATTGCATTGTGAAACATTTTTTTATAGGATAGGTCTATTTCCTATATGGCATGTGATTTTTTTTTAAAGGAGATCCAAAGCATTGTGGGTGCTCTTAGGCTGAGATTGGATTAAAAAAATATTTTCTTTTTTATGTTTAGGTTTCATTGAAACTAGTATAAATCTCGTGCGACGCACGGGGTGAACAGTTTACAGACTATTTATGAAGCCTTATATTATTATATTTAGAAATAAACAAAATTAAATAAATCAAATAAAAAACAAACTATTAAACACCTCTTTGTACACAATATCTTTGTTTGTCTTCTAGACAAACCAATAGAAATCTGGTCGGTTAACATGAAGTTGGTATAACATAAAAATATATTATTGTCCATAATAACATAAAAAATAATGCGTTATTTCTAATATGAATTACTTGCGATTAGATTATCATTACCAACTGCATTTAAATATGATGATCCGCTTCTAAATACTGCACATAAAATTTCAATAATTTTACAAACAACATATGTATAGGTGGGTTCAGCTGCTAATGCAGCTATTGAAGCTATAGGGGTGTCGGCCTTAGAGTGAGTTTCAGTGATGACTAAATCTTCAATAATAAAATGTTAAAATTTTACAAACAACGTGTAGGCGTTAACAATAAAAAATAATATACATAAATAATATTTGTTATGTACCTAAGAGGTGAAGGTTTAAAAATAATCAAACATGGAGTTCGATTGCGCCACGATAGCATTAGTTCTGAAATTTGGTCTTGTGGCACGAACAACTCGAATAAAAATGTAAATAAGTTTAATTAGTACATTGAACACAAAAATATAATAAAATGTTTGTATTTGAATTTGTATAATATTTATATAACATATATTATAAAAAAGTAAAATAGTTGGATGACAATTTTAACTACCTACAATACTTTTTCTCATGGGCAAGACATATAAATAAATGAGTTTTAATAGTTTTAATAGAAATAGGAAACAACTACATATTCATACTATGTAATATACAGATTTGCATGAGTCGAGTAACAATTTTAGATTGTCGATCATAGTAATACTTGATGTGTGTCGTATTTTCATTATGTCGTCTTTGCCTATGCTTGGTTCATTCAATTACAGACTGACTGAACTTCGCTTCGAAAAGTTTGACCTGCTCTTCTCAACTCGCACCCATTTGTGTTTACGACGTCTAAACGATAAAATATTTTCAGGAACAGGAATTGCAAAAAAATCAATTGATGATCACTGCAAACAATACCTTGTGCTTGATTTTCAGTAATTGTTATTTTACTGTGCATGATGATGTTCTTTTGTAATTTCTGAAGAACAAAAACAAATAATAATAATAAGTTATGTTTTAAAAAAAAACTAATATGTAAATTAACCAAAAATAAAAAGGCTTTACCTGTTCTGAAACTCATATGTATGATAACAATCAATCAATCAAAATCAAAACAAATGTTTGTTTTCGAAAAATAGAAAGGATAATTTCGAAAAAGCAAGCTGATTAGATTTATAGATCTTAATTGATTGAGAACATAAAAGTTGACTCTCAGAGCATCTCCAATATGTGATGTTGATTTAATAAAATGTTAGAGCATCTCCAATGCAACTTTTGACATTATAAAAAGTCATCCATATCACCAACTTTTGAAAGTGTGTCTCTGTTTTTTTCTCCAATGCATCTTGTCATGAACTCTTTCATGATGAGGTGGATGTCATTTAATGTTGACAATGTTGAGCACACTTTCTAATATCTAACACCATGTTAAACATGATGATGACTCATCAATTTATTTTATATTTATTTTTATTTTTTATTTTTTTTGTATCAATGAATTATTTAATTGGTCCACCTATACAAATAACTTCTTATCAAATTGATGCATTGGAGATACTAGTTCCATTGAAATTTCTAGTCTTTTAACATTATTCTAATGTGGATTAACATTACAATTACTAATTGACATGTGTTAAAAATAATGGTCTTTCACACTTATAGCATTGGAGATGCTCTTAGCTACATCATCAAGTTATAAAGTAATTACAAAAATTACTCTCCAATCCATAATGTTATGGACTCTTTTATGCTGACATGGAGACAATAAATATCCAAAGTGTGAAGCCCACTTTCTAGTTTTCCAAAGAGTGTTTGAAAGCCAATTCATAAAAAAACTAACCTATTTTAATCTTTTGAAAGGGATGCATTGGAGATGTGCATTCCAAATTAAAGTCTTCTCTTTTGACATTCATATTATATGGATTTACATTTCATTCATCATTTGACATGTGTTCAAATTTAATTAATGTTCAAAGTGGAGCATTGGAGATGCTCTTATAATTGGGACGGGCGACAATTTTAATAGATTAAAAATATTTTTTATTTGTTTGAGGATATACGTTTAAATTTAGCATGATATTCTTTTTCTTATAATCCATATTCCATCTCACGAATAGTTAATATATGTATGCACTATTAAAAGAATCGTGTTTAGAAACTTTAGATTTTTTTCATGTATAATGCTGTCATGTATCTTTATATTTTGGGAAACATAATCTTGTAGTTTACAAAGCGTAACAATAGAAATTTCTTAACAAAAAAATATTGGAATTACTTGTAATTTTTAAACGTAAATAAAACGTCCAAATATATGTTCATAAAAATATATATTAACAAAAAAAACAAAAGAACACGGTTGCTATGTTCAAAGTTTATTTGTGGATTATTATTAATTGTTATGGTCCATATCATTATATTTATCCACTTGATTTGATATGTTGAAGAAAAAAGTAACCAAATGAGTTAATGATTCTCCATAACTATGAAAATATAATTTTTACTGAAAATAGTGTAATTTTGTAAGCAATCTATTAATATATAAAGAGGGAATGATAGTTGTTTGAAAAAATCAAGGAGAAAATCAGCAAAAAAAAGAGTGTAATTCCCGCCTAAAATTTCAAAATTACTACTTGTGGTAAATATTTGACAAAAATTAAAATATCCTGCCTGTACTAAATCTGTTTGAATTTTTCAGAAATTTAAAAATAAGATCTTCCTAAAAAGTGGGAGAATATCGATGATATATGCTATCAGATTAGTTTGACCATATTTTTATAACTAAATAACAATCTTAAAATTTTCGAAAGAATATCATTTGATGGTTGGACTCTTTCAAATATCGAAGAACTGGAATAATTTCACTCCAAGATATCCGCCGAACAGCCCTCTCCTCTCCTTAGAAAACTTAATCCCCAAATCTGTCGTCTCCCCTCCTCTCGCTCTATTGCTTTGCCTTCCTCGGGGGACGGCGTGGCTCCAGCCGGTGGTCAACCTCGACTGCTTGACCCATCCCTGAAGTTGTATGCCTGTGATGTCATCGTGGTTCGTCTGAGATTGGAGTTCTGTCCCCAAGCGCAGCGCGGGTCTGCGGATGGAGATGGTGAGCCCTCTCGGTGCCTTCCTCCCGGTCGCCGGCAGGTGTTCGATTGTTGGTGGTAATCCCCTCCCTTTGTTTCCGTTTCTGTATCTGGTGGTCACCCCTCGGTCGATTCGCCTTTTCTGGTAGGGCTTCCAGTACGGGTCACTGAAAAGATTATGTTTTGCTTAGAGGTCGCAAATATTTCCGGCTTGAAGATTCTCCTTGCATTGATCAGGCAAGACTTGAAAAAAAAAAAAAAAAAAGAGGAAAAAACAGTTTGATTTTCGGGTTATAGATTTTTCGGTTGAGTTTTTTTAACAGCCCATTTTTGCTAATTCGTGTAGGAAATCAAAAATATTTTAACGGGACTGAGCTACATTGAGTCCACACTCTTCCGAGAGAAGGGCTTGTGGGAGGTACCTAAAATTTTTTTGCCTGAATCGAACAAAGAAGAGCAAGAAGAAGAAGATGCCCCAGTGCTAGAAGGCGCGAGGGAGTCTGAAACTGATTCCGACGGCGACGATGAGGTCTTCTATGTGAGAAGCGCCGAGAGAAATCGATATGGATATCGATGGTCACCTCACTGGCTTGCACCGATGCCAGGGAGATTTGCTCGAAATCCTTATTATTCTAGAAATCATTGTTATTCTAGATGCCTATACCGCGAGGACAAGCCTTCTGCAATTGTAGTAAGAACTGATTAATTGTTGACTTTTATTTACTTTTGTTGATTTTAGGTGCTGCAGTCATTATGTTGTCTGTTTCTTTTTTTCCAATTTTATGATGAAGTATAAAAATTATTGGCAGGGAGCAGGACTGGAAATCCTTATTATGCTGGAAATCCTTATTATTCTGGATATGCTGGAAATCCTTATCATTCTAGATGCCCGTACCGTGATGACAAGCCTTCTGCAATTGTAGTAAGAACTGATTATTCATTGATTTTTATTTAGTGTTGTTGATTTTAGGTGCTGCAGTCAGTATGTTGTCTGTCTCTGGAATTCGACGCCATAGCCGACACCATAAAGTCCTTTTTCCCGGTGGGGCTCCGGCGGAGACGAGCTCCTCGGCCATGGAGTTTCAAGCTGTCCAATTTCCTGATTTTCTCTCGAGAAACAGCCGCACCGCACTAATACTCAGGCTATCGTTGCAGTCGTTTCAAGATCCAGTCTTGCTCGCCACCGCTCCCCTAGGGTTTGATGGTTGGACAAAGAGCGGCAAGCAGCAGGCTTAGACTCAGAAAACAGATAATAGTGATAGTGGAAAAGACAAAAAACCAAAGTTTCTCTATTAAATTCTTCTGCCCGAGGCCCCGAAGAGGCTATGATACGAAATTACCGAATTATGCAGGTGAGGTTGTATTTATAATAGAAATGTTTTGTACTGTTCTAATAAAATTTGATATTTTTATGAGCACGTACTTATGGATTGGTTGGAATAATTGAAAATAAAATATGGAAAAAGAACAAGAAGCTATATTCATCTGTCAACATTTTGAAGTGAAATTGTGTTAGTAATTTTCAATCTTCATTCAGCCGCATAAACTGAAGTATTGTTAGTGAAATATTATTTCAATGGTCAATATACGGTTCAAGTCACGATCATAGGTGTGTGGAGTTATTGCTTGGAATTATCTTATATATGTTGTTTGCTTTTTCTTATTTGCTTGGCAAAACTTCTGTCTTTATGTATATTTTTCAAGAATATGTAATGTTGTAAAATGAATGTTTTGACTATTCAACTGGTGAAAATTCATGGTGTGGATAATTTTAAAAAATATGATTATTGTGAGTAGATGTCCATGTATCTGAAGGATATAGCTTACAAGAAGTTGAGATTTAGATATACATTATAGCTGTTTCGAGTACTTGCCAGTACATTGTGTGTGGCACAACGGGAGAGGTTATATAATATGTAGATGCTGCTCCATTTTATGTTTTCGTTGTTTCGTTCATTATGTCCAGGTTTTAGAATTTGTGTGTTTCAATTTAGAAAATAAACAAATTATTGCTCGACTTTGTTTTTCAAACTATTTGGAGCGAAAATGGGAGGGAGAGGCCCAGGGAGGCGGGTATGGTTACAGAACAAGATGGGGATGGCGGCCATGTTGCGGTAGGATTGGGTTCATACAACGAGATGGCGTCAGATGTCAGAAACGCGGTTGTCTATGCAGATGGGTACGACGACGGCATGGTGACATAGGCAGCGGCTTTGATTTCTAGATTTTAACTCACTCTTTTTTTTTTTCTTTCGTTTTCTCTTTTTCATGTGAATCGATTATATTTGGTGATATGTGATGATCTACTATGAAAGAGATGAAGAGATTCTTTTAATTATGTAATGCATGATCTATTTTACTTTTCTCATTTGTACATATAAGATTAATGACAATAATTTGAGTTCACACGAGAAAGAGACAATGTCGTCGTTTTTTCTTTGGTTTGAGGATCTCTTCACGAAAATTGGTCTCCTTTGTGTTGATGTTGATTGCATTTTGTTTAATCCTTAATTATTACGTGTACACAGTAGTCAATTGAATGTTATACTACATCCATATCTATTAATTTATATATCTATTAATATATAACTAGTATGTGGCCCGTGCGATGCACGGGTAAATAATATTAAATAATATGTATTCGTTTAGAATTTTGAGTGTCACTTTGAGATTTTTTAAGATTTGAGACTTTTAAGATGATCAAATTTTAGAGGAATACTATGAAATCTTAAGTGTGAATGTGAGATTTAGAGTGAAATTTTGTATAATTTTTTTTTCTTTTAAATCATAACTAAAGACCTAACAAATCTTGATCTCAAATAAGTTAAATATTTAAGGATATTTTAAGATTTTTTTAATTTTTATATATCAAATGAACAACTTTTGTTACAAAAAAATATGGACACAATTTTGAATTTACATCCCATCCAAATATCAGTTTTATTCTAAAATAAAAATTGCACGTGGTTTTATCCAATTTACTCACTTTTTTTTAAAGAAAAAAATTATTCAATAAGATTAGAAGAATTGGTTAAGAATTATACAACTATTTGTTTCCAAAATTTGTATCCAATTTGTACGGTTTTTAAGTTAATTTGTATTTAGAATTTTTTTTATAAATAATTGACAAATTTTTTGCACAAGAATCTCCAAATTTGTAACCAAAAAATATATGATATAAATATTAGTAAAAAAAATAAAATATAATACGAAAAAAATAGAATTCAAATTTTGTCATAAGAATCTCCAAATTAGTTACCAAAAAAATAGGATTCAGATTTTGTTACTAAAGATTCACATGTATTTTTTTTAACTTTCCGTTAATAGAAAGTCAAAACATTATTTTTTAGGTCAACCTTACTATTTTTGTATTTTTCCAACAACCTCTTTATATTACTATAGATATGTCATATAATTAACCTAAAATAGTAATCAAATTTCTACCTAAATAAATTCGGAATTATTGAATTTTGATTTTTTTTTTAATAATCCTGCTTTTATTTGAGCTTGAAATCCAAAAATTCAAAATATTATTATCCAATCACACTGATTCATTTTTGTATTTATCTAATTAAAAACCATACATATATGATAAGAATTCCATATATGTGAATTATTATTCATACAATATAATTTTTGCTATATAATAATTTCATACTAGGCCGTTTCTCATGTCCAAATAGAATTAAATCAATTAACGATATTGAATTCTACAATTGCACTAATATTGAATGTTACTAATAACTTTTTTCATAAAATATTTGGCCATTTTCATCTCATTTTTGAATTACAAATTTTAATAATCGAAGATAGCATAAAATACAAAGCCGGAATATTAAATGTCTAATATTCTATATATGTGGATTCTTCATCTAATATATGGTAGACGAATATTCAATATTATCCTGTTTATAACGTAACAAGTTAAACTAAACAATTCAATGATATCAAATCCTACATTCGCACAAAAATAATACAATTTGATAATCTATCTATTAATATATAAAGAGGGAATGATATTTGTTTGAAAAAATCTAAAAAATCAGCAAAAAAAAGATTTCAATTCTCGCCTAAATAAATACTATAATGAGGATTTTTTTTGGCAAAAAATTGAATCTGCCCGCCTTCAACCAATTCAAACGTTTTTGATATTTTAGTTATTGATTTCCAGCCTTATCTATTTATACAATCCGATTTTTACAAGATTTGGTTAGATTTTTTTGTCAAATATTTGTATATATCTTAATTAAATCATTCCAAATTAATTCCTAACTAAAATCACGTGTGCTATAGAATACATATTCACGCATATTAGAGTATTGTTTTTCACGTAATACATATTATATTATTCACGCATATAGTTACTAATCTTTTCACATTAGACTCTAATATATAAAAGTGGATATAACTTTAAACATGTTTTTATAAAGAGGCTACCTAAATAATCTGATAATAGTAAGTAAAAATTATCTAAAATCCCGCCTAAATATATTACGGAACATCATCTGATAATAGTAACTAATAATCATCTAAAATCCCGCCTAAATATATTACTATACATAATTAATTTATTTTGAAAAATTTCGCAATATGCGCCTCTGTGAATCGTTTGAATTTTTCGATAATTTTATAAATTTAGTCAAGCATTTTAAACGTGTTCGCAATTTTCTAACTACTTAACTAAAGACATGATAAAATGAATCAACTTTCTGAGTTTTTCACCAACATCTTATTTTATATCTACTATATACATAAAATAAAAATAATGGTCTAATTAATGTTTTTCTTTATGTTGTAATTGTTTACGGTCTAATTAATAATTTTTAAGTTGTAATACATATTATTCATGCATATAATTACTAATTTATTCACGCATATAATTACTAATATTTTCGCATTAGGCTCTAAATATATAAGAGTGGATATAACTTTAAACATGATTTTATAGAAAAAAAAGTTAATTTCACATATCTTGATAATTGTTTTTATCCATTCTCTATACTAACGAGGTGTATCTATACATAAATAGGTTAATTTTTTTAGGTGACTTCACACATATTTCTAGAATAATATATAATATATTAGATATTTTTTTTACATATGTACAATTTTAGGTATTTTTAATATCTATATCTATAGATATAAAAAAGGAATAAGATTTAAAGAAACACTAGATACATACTAAATTTTAGATAGAAAATCACATTTTATTTGTTATATAATTTTTTCGATTGGCATTAATCTTGATTTGTAATGGTAAAATTGATAAATTAACCGTATGATAAAAAGCATGCCAAATTCTTTTTACGATAAAGGCTTCAAAAATTAATTTTTGAAATCTTTTGTACTTACTCCGCATATGGAAGTTAGGTCATAATTCATCCTAATGGTCGATATCATCTTAATATTAATTTTAGATATATTATGTAATTCATCATTGCATATAGATTTTCCCATCTCCTCCCAACAAATTTAGCATGAGGTAATATGTTAACTCATAATATTTTATATAGTTTTAAACAGGCAATTTTTACCCGATATATAAGAGTGGATATAACTTTAAACATGATTTTATAGAGAAAAAAAGTTAATTTCACATTTTTAAAAAATGATATTTTAGGTATTCTTAATGTTTGTTGGGTTGCAATATTTTAGATATTTAGACATATCTTGATAATTGTTTTTATCCATTCTCTATATTAAGGAGGTGTATCTATACATAAATAGGTTAATTTTTTTAGGTGACTTCACACATATTTCTATAATAATATATAATACATTAGATATTTTTTACATTTATACGATTTTAGGTATTTTTAAGATATAAAAAAGGAATAAGATATAAAGAAACATTAGATACATACTAAATTTTAGATAGAAAATCACATTTTATTTGTTATATAATTTTTTCGATTGGCATTAATCTTGATTTGTAATTGTAAAATTAATAAATTAACCGATATGATAAAAAACATGCCAAATTTTTTTTACGATAAAGACTTTAAAAATTAATTTTTGAAATCTTTTGTACTCAACTCCACACAAGTTACGAGGTCATAATTCATCTTAATCATGTTCTCGTGTGTAAATCTCAGTGACGATCATGCAAGTGATAAAGTTTTGATACCTCGAATGACCATAACTCCTTCGGATGTAGTACCATTCAAATTCCAAAGAAGGCAGTTCCTCATTATGGTTTCGTATGCAATGACTATAAACAAGAGTCAAGGTCAATCCTTATCTCATGTTGGCTTATTCTTGAAGAAACCAGTTTTTAGTCATGGCCAATTATATGTCGCTGTCTCCCGTGTTACTAATAGAAAGGGTCTGAAAATTTTAATTTGTGGAGAAGAAGGTTTGAAAGCAAATCAAACCAATAATGTTGTGTATAGAATAGTCTTTAATAATATATGATTTTTTTTTTGTACTTTGTATTTCTCTCTCTTTTTTTCTATTACAATCAAATTATTAATTTATAAAAAAAAATATTAAATAAAGTTTAGAAAAAAAGGTTTGAGGAAATAATCCCACCGTACTGCGCACCGGTACTACACTATATTTCCCAAAATGAATATAGTCCGTGCATTGCACGGGTTACGTACTAGTTAAAAATAGAATGCTGAATGCATAATGAGATTTTCCAACGATTATCTCTTAATTTATAGAGTTAGAGAAAAATTAATTGAAATAAATTCCAAAAATATTTTGATTGGAAATAATTTAAAAAAGACAACATATTTTTTTTTTATTTTTGTCAATTTAGTTGATTAGTTAACAATTTTCATATACATCAAATATAAAACGATTTGCAATTTTTTATTGTCATCACAAGTTATTTACACAAATCAGAAATTGTGATTTATTTGGTTTTTTTTATATATATTGCAAGGTTATTAAAATATATTGGATTTAAATATGTTACCCATTATAATTCTCCAATTTATTACCTTTAGCAACGACCTATTAGTAAATTATAATTGTTTGTATGGAAACTATAGGAGGATTTAGTTGATCTTCCAATAAATAGTTTTATGGGTGTTTGTTTTGAAAATTAACACGTAATATATGCTTGTGATATATACTTATTGCCAAACTGATATCTATATCAAATAAATAACACATTAGTTCTCATGTTTGTAATCATGACAAATTTTGAAAAAAAAAAAAAAAGTTGTAAATGTTCCATGGCTATTATTTTCACATGTTTTATTAAGATATCATAATCTAGATAAGTTAAATTGTAAAAATTTGACGGTTATCTATCCATTTTATTTTGATTTATTTTGATTGGTAGATATTGTTGATTTGCCAAATTAATTTATTATATATATTTATAATTTTTAATCCACACGTTTTATTTATATTTTTGTTTGGAAAACAACAATTTATTAGGAAATAAATTATTTTGTATATTGCAAAGTGATGTGTATGCACAAATAAATTAGGCGATTTTATTCATTTCAGCTCACTCGTTTCATTGATTTAGATTCAATATCTTAAAGGATTTAATTATGATTAAATATTACAGATTTGGTTGCTCTTCAATTGAAAAGGTGATTTGGAGATCTTTGAAGATTTTTTTATTGTATTTGACCAAATTATGTATAGTAATTATATTTATTGAAAATGTTGGACTTCTTATTGTCCAGCCTCAGGTCAGTCTGTAAATTTCCATAAATCCAACATTTTTTTCTCTGCCAATTCCTCAGCCCAAGATCAAAGCAGCATCTGTCAAATCCTTCAAGGGATTGTTGTGGCAAAAAAATCCAAGTATTTGGGGCTTCCAATGGGGATAGGTAGGAACAAAAAAGAAACTTTTGCTTTTGTGAGAGAGAGTGTGATTAATAAAGTAACCAGCTGGAAAAACTCCTTCTTGAGTGAAACTGGAAAGGAAATTCTAATTAAAACTGTGTTATGTGCTCTTCCTTTATATGTCATGTCTGTGTTCAAACTGCCGGTGGGGGTATGTTTAGACATTTGCAGAGATGTGGCTCAATTCTGGTGGGGTAAGAAGGAAGATGGGGGAAATAGAATTCATTGGGCCTCTTGGAGCAGATTAGCTATCCCTAAGTTAGAAGGAGGTATGGGGTTTAGAGATCTTAGTATCATGAATGAAGCCCTTATTTTGAAGCAGATTTGGAGAATGTTGACTAAGCCTAATACTCTTATGAGCAGAGTGATGAGAAGTAGATACTGTCTGAAGCAAAGTTTTTTAGAAGTTAGGAAAAAAGACTCTGACTCTTGGCTGTGGAAAGGGTGGCTTGAGTGTAGGGCTTCTTTAGCTCTGGGTTTGAGATACCAAGTTGGGAATGGGCAATCAATTAGGGTCTGGGATTCCCCCTGGCTACCTAACTCAAATCATTTCAAACCAACTTGTTGTTTTGAAGGTGACAGAATTAAATTGCAAAGGGTGTGTGACCTTATGATTGCAGGTGAAAACAAATGGGATACTGATCTAATCCTTCAGACTTTCACCCCTATGGATGCAGATCTCATTTTGAAGACTCATATCAGTAGCCAGAATATGAATGATAAACTGATTTGGCACACAGACCCAAGGGGGCAATTCTCTGTGAAGGCAGCCTACAATGCAATTCTTCAATCAAAGCTGAGACAGAATGAGAGGGCTGAAAGCAGCAATGGAGACAAAGCTAAGCAGGAGATGTGGAGAAGACTATGGAAGTTAAAAATCAAGCCCAAGGTTAGGAACTTCCTGTGGAGATGCATCCACAATTGGGTGGCCACCATGTGTAGATTGAAGGAGAAAGGAGTACAGGTAGATGTCATATGCAGTATTTGTGGTGAAGCTGAAGAAAACCTAGAGCATATAATGTTCTTCTGTCCTAGAGCACAAAGGGTATGGAAGCTTGCAGGCCTCACATGGAACTGCTTGGAAGATAGGCAGACTACTTTTCTGGATTGGTGGCTGACTCTGAACAGCATGAGCACCTCTGAATACAATAGAGACAGAATTTCACTATCCACCTATCTCCTTTGGTGGATGTGGAAAACAAGGAACACTTGCCGGTTTCAAAATGTTATATTGACTGAACAACAGTTAGTCTTGGGAGCAAAATTGGAGTGGATGGAATTTGATGACACTAAATATGGTAGAAAGCTGTTTCATCAAGAGCTGCAAGAACATGTCAAAGGCCAGGATCCTTCTGAGATGCTAGGATTAGGGGACCCCTTAAATAATCCCAGTTCTTCTACATCTCAGCAAGTTGATTGGTGCATACAAGGAGTGGCTTTAATGAACAACTCTGAGGTGGCATTATTGTCTCAATCTAGGGATGCTGCTCATAAGCAACCAGTGGATGTGACTCTATTTTGCATTAGAGAATGGTTGGAGAAGGGTCTGCAACTAGGATGGCAAGAGGTGAAGCTAAGGTTCACAGACAAAGATTTATTCCAAATGATATCGAGCAACACCCTATGCAACACGAAATTTGCTGTCCTGGTGGATGACATTAGATCCATCTTGCCTCTTTTTCCTCAGTGTGCTCTTATAGATTGTACTTAGTGTCTAAAGTTCTTTAGTCTTTTCTTTTGTTTGTGGTTTAGATTTTCTGTGGTCTCTTCTGTTTTGTCTGTTCTGATTTGCTTTTGGGTGTCATGACCGTGCCTGGTCTCTTAGGGTAGCTTGATTTTCGAGCGATCCCGTATTGTACCTCGTCCTAGCTTGCTTGGCAGGGGTGTATTTGTGGCCATTTGGCTACCGATTTGTACATTTCAGTATTTGTGATATAAAATATTTGATGTTTGGAAAAAAAAAAAAAATTCAAAAAAAAAAAAATACTAATAAAAGTAAAAATAAATTATTTAGGCGGGAATTCAGTTACTTTTTCAAGTAAATGCCAAACCTTTTTATATTATATAGATATAGATTTATCTCATTACAATTAAAATCTAATATATTGAAATTATGGAAAAATATTATTTATTTTATCTATTTAGATTTTCTTACAGTCACATACAAAAATAAAAATCAGGTAAGCAGAATTTTTTCATATTTTTTTAGGTTTTGTCAATGTTTGTGTGTATTTATTTATTTTCTTGATAATAATGTCATAATTTGTTAAACAAAATATAATTGGTGTTATTTTTATAGTTTTAAACTAGTAGATAGTTGTGTGATGGAGGAATAGAGATGTTAAATGGGTCATGTTTATATGATATGTCTGTTTTGACCCCCAAAAATAAGTTGGATCATCCATTTTTCATCTTTTTAATCAATATTTTCTTTAATAGAACGTTAAATATGAGTCTGTTAAGGCTAGCATGTAAGTTAATTAATATATTATCTCGCTAACATGTTTATATTAATATAAATTTAATTTCAGTATATATTTATTTTTTGATGTAAAAAAGTTATTTCCACTCCTACTTACTCTTTCAACATAATGGAGCAGTAAGAGAATTCATTTCTTCCTGTAGAAGGTTTAGGCAGGGAGATCATATCTCCCCTTACCTCTTTCTCCTGGTTCAGAGGTTTTATCCCTACTGGTTAATTTTGCTGCTGAGAGAGGGATGTATAGAAGATTGAAAATTTCAAGAGCAGACCTTGCTATCTCACACCTCCTTATTGCAGATGATTCTCTGTTTTTCTGTAAGGCTGATTCCCATCAAGATGTTCTTATCACAAGTCTGTTGGAGAAATACAATTTATTTATCGGCCAGAAGGTGAATATGAGTAGGTCAATTGTTTTCTTCAGTAGGAAAACTCCAGAGCAAGTGAAAGCAAACATTTGTGAAACCCTTCAAGGAATAGTGGCTCACCATTCAACAAGATATCTAGGATTGCCACTGGGATTTGGGAGATGCAAGAAGAAGGCATTTCGTTATATACTGGAAGCTGTGAAAATAATAATTAACAGTTGAAAGAGTATATTTATTTGACATAAGTTCAAAATAAATATATTGAATATATGTTCCTACAAGCACAAGGAATCTATAAAAGGGAAGTTACTTTTATTTATATTTGTTTATATTATATACATATATGAGATTGCATGATCTTATTATGGTATTATGTTGTAGGAAATCGGTGTGCATGGCGGTTGAAGAGGGAAACACGTATGTACATTAACGAGATCTAAAGGAAATCAAGGAAGATTCAAAGAAGATTTACTTTCCAAGTTTCAATCCTATTTTAGGCAAGAAGATCACGGAGATCACAGAATAAGGAAGGAACTTGGAGAAGACTCCAGGCCTAAGGGAGTTGTATATATACCCTGCTTGAAGATTGAATTAAGGTTGCTGTCATTCTCATAATCCTCGCAATATTCGAAGAACTGAAGTCGTTTTGTTTTCTTTTTGATTTGTTTTATTCAGACATCTTCGTGTTTAACACTTAGGGATTAAGTATTCGTTAGAAAGTCCACGGGACGTGGACGGAGAAGTAATTGATAGAATCGTGTGTAGTTGTGGCTAGGGTACATAGGAGTTCGAGTCGTGTAAGTTCAAACTATACAAGTGTGCACAAATGGTTTATCAATGAAAGATCTCTGAGGGGAAGTGGGACGCTTCCCTGAAGAGTTTTTTTTACATCTTCGGTTTATTGTTTCCGCTATTTTAGTTGTTTATTTGTGTTCTATCCTCGTTGAGCGCACTCTCGTAAAATACATATGTTTCAAATTTAACACTACCTAAAGTTTCAGGGGAACTTGTGTTTCAGGATATTTGCTTATTTAATGAGGCTCTAATTTGCAAGCAACTTTGGAGAATTAATATTTAGCCAGATCTTCTGGTAAGTAAAATTCTGAAAGGCATATGCTTTCCTAATTGCTCTTTCTGAAATCATTCTAGAACAAGAAGATGTAAAAATGTAGATGACACGGCGCAATATATAGATAGGAACTAGACAGGATCTAGAGATCAAATACAGCAATGGCACTACCATATATCTAATATGGAATACAGAATACATGGGGTGAGGTTGATGATGAATAACACTAGGCATCCACACAACAAGCCAACCAACTTGTTCAAAAGAAGAAGACTTAACTCGGCTCACTACTTCACTTGCGAGGGACCGTAAAATTGATCCACAAGCTCCACAGGCTCCACTGCCGCGGTTGGAATTAAACCTCACTAGGGCTCTAAATGCTCTGGAAGGTGAAAGAGAGGTTCTATTGGAGAAGCAGACCAAGCTGATGGGCAATTACCAGGAGTTTTTCGCGTTTTTCGTACAACGCAGCACCGTTTGCGTTTTGATGATGGCGGGTGGGCTTTTCATAGGCTACTATCTCTACAGCAAGGTTCATGGCTATATCATCACTGCCCTAGCCATGAACCTTGTAGTGGAGATAGTAGCCTATGAAGAGCCCACCTGCCATCATCAAAACGCAAATGGTGCTGCACTGTACGAAAAACGCGACAAACTCCTGGTATTTTCCCATCAGCTTGGTCTGCTTCTCCAATAGAAGCTCTCTTTCACCTTCCAGGGCATTTAGAGCCCTGGTGAGGTGAATTCCAACCGCTGCCGGAAGTGGAGCCTGTGGACCCTGTGGAGCCTGTTGAGCCTGTGGCTGAATCCCAGATGAAGTGCCCTAAATCTCCAAAGATGGGATATCGATGTTATGCAACATATTTTTTGTTTTGGCTTTTTTTTGTTTTAATTTAGAGAGGAGAACTGTGTAGAAGATGCAAGATATCGATAAGAATAGCCTAGGTAGGCTGGTATTTATACTAATATATACCACAACATCAGTCACGAGGGCTCACAAATTAGACCTACTTACTAAAACCCTATTTAACCTAGGTTGCGATTTGACAAGGGTTTCCTTAGGCTGCTATTCCTTATTTAAGACCTGTTTAACGGCGAAAAATAAAAAAAAAAACTTGGGCTATTTTAATAAGGATTTTATTGAATAAAAATTATTAACTTTATTAATATGTAGTCTTCTCACTTATATATCATCATACTTGTTTTTTAATAACTTTTATTCTACAATGCGTATTCTATTAATATAAAATACAATTTAATTTTCACTATAACTAATTTGAATTCGACAAATGAACCTTAATTTATCTTATAGAGAAATTAGTAAAATTAACATATATTTTTTAGAAATTATACTAAAAAAACTAACTTAAGAAATATATTTGTGTAAGAGAAATTAGTAAAATTAACATATATTTTTTAGAAATTATACTAAAAAAATAACTTAAGAAATATATTTGTTACACCGTGTGAGTCATGATATATATAAAAGAGCGGTTCAAATAAGAACAAGCCTTAGTTTAAAAAACGCGAGAATGTTATTTTTAATCATGTACAATGCTAGTTTAATTTTCGTTGTTTTCTGTTTTTTAACAAAAATATTTTAAAAACATCAAATATATAATATAATACTGGCTATGTATATGATAGACACAATATGACATAAGCTCTACATATTTAATACAATTTTAAGAAAATTAACAAATATACGACATTCAAAAGCTCTGATTTGATTCTCTAGGTGGTCTATTCTGACAAGGATTTCCAATTCTTGGATACAAACTACATGGTGAAACTTTTTTTTAGTTAAAATATTAGGTACTCTAGGACTTTCGATTCAAAAAGGATTATGATTCCATTTCCCTATTAACAAGTGCAACGAGATAGGATTAATTACTATAAATTATTGATAACTGTCAAAATGAGCATTAAACTCATGAAAAGCAAAAGAGACATCATACTGAAAATGGATTTCTTCATCAATAATCGTGTTGCTACAATGGCAGACTTATACATATATATAGCTATCTTCCAACCTATCTAGGTTAAAACAAAGTTGCCTATCCTTATCTAAAAAAAAAAAAGCCAACTGGTACAATAGAGGTAAAACGGCTCTCCCTCTTCCTTACAGCTGCATGCTTGTTTTCATGCACACGTCATGATCAAGGGTGCTTGGAAGAACATTAATTTCCTTACAGCTGCATGCTTGTTTTCATGCACACGTCATGGAGCTTGTGACTTTTCTTTATTCCTGCCATCATCATCTGTTATTTCGGTTTTTTATTATTTTAAATTATTATATTTCTTTAAAAAAAGTGATGCGATTAATAAATGTGATACTTCATAGATTAGATTGATGAGGCGTGAAATTTTTTATGCAACACTATATACCGTAATATAATGAATACAATAAATAAATATTTTATTTTTATGTTTATTATTGATTTTTATAATATATCATAATCAAATATTTCATAAATTTATCTGATCAAACTGAAAAGTACTCCGACCATTTCTGGTTCAATACTTCTTTTAATTGGCGCGGTTCCAAAACCAAAATCATAAAAAAAAAAATAAAAAATGAAAAGATAAAAAATAGAGTTTAAATTCAAATTTGATGGTTTAGATCAATTGAAATCGGTGTTTATCGATTCTTAATTGGTCGAACCCCCCAGCATGGATCAAAAGAGTGATAGCATTCGTGTAATTACGAATAGTTTTAAATATATCGACGTTTTAAGTTTGGTCAAACGTTCCAGCACTGGTCAAAAGAATTGTAACATTCCTGTAATTATGAGTATTTTTAATATTTCACACGAGAATTTTCTTCATTATGCAAAATACTCTAAAATACTAGTGTCCATTTTCACAGATAAACGTACATTCTGTAGCACAGACGCAAAATTAAAGATTACTTGAATTACCGTCAATCTTGTGCAGTGGCGGACTTACGTTGGGGCTAGGGGGGCCATTGTCCTCCCCAAACTTTTATTTTTATTTTTTAATATATATATATATATATATATTATTAAAATTTATATTCAACTTATAAGTTATATATATCTCAAAAATTATTACAATGTATTGTATTCTTTTGGTAACTAATTAGTTTCAACTACATATTTTTGTAAGTACTCTTTCTACAATCTTTTATAATATATATTAGTATAAGACACGTAAACTGCATGGGTGCTTGAAAGAATATTTTTATAATAAAAAATTAGTACATAAAATTATCAATATTCTCATGGTGAATTTATAAAAAATAATTGTATAAAAAATAACAAATAGAGTATTTACTATTTATATTGACACATATTTTATGAATTATAATTAATAATTTATTATTTTTCAATATGATATTTATTTATATATTTTATTTTTAATATCATAATAACATTCAATCTTTTGTATATCTGGTCAAGTTGAGATATAAGTCTGTAAGATTTTGTTTATATTCATTTATGTTTATACTTAATCTATATATATTTTTAAACTATAGAAAATACATTAAAATAAATGAGAGAGAGATTAAAAATTATATAGTCCTCTAGAGATAACACTCGACCCAAGTCAAGTCAAATACCTCATATTCAAGATTGTGCTCATTTAATAAATGAGCCGACTCGGTTAGACCATTTAATAAACGAACAAAATGTGCAATCGAAGTCGGCCCATCTAATAAGCCCAATCTGACTCAACTCATTCAAAAAAATAATAAGCTCGAATAATTGTTATAACTTGTCTCGTTTAAATATATTAGCGAATTGAACTTGAGTTTTCATGACTTATACGAACACAACTCGGTTCATTAACTGTTCTAGTCTCCCCGAACTTTATATTCTAGATCCGCCCCTGATCTTGTGCATGTACCATCAATAGAAATAGCATGGTCAACATGGTCAACATTGCTTCATCAGCTGTTCCACATCATCACTTGCATTTCATGCAGAAAAAACGAGCTGACATGCAAGCACATGCAATGCCAAATGACAGCACATTTGACTAGTATATTTTCTGTTGAGATCTTTTGTTTTCTTTTAGTTTCACGTGTCATTAATCTAAGAGTGATGTTTGAAATGTGTGGCTGGGATTATATAGAGCTAAGACTATATATAGCATGGTAGAACATAACAGCTGGAGTGTGAAGTATGTAACCCAATTTTCCTCCAATTGCATTAATTTGAATAACAGCTTTTCTTTCACCTTTCTCAATCTTGGAATTTAACATTTCCAATTAACCATGAGGCAAGCTTAAATTAGTATTTATTATGTATCGGATAGTGCTGTATTTTTTGGCTTTCTTTTTGTTTTTATTTTCCTTTTATTTATTTATTTTTTTAATTATTATTATTATTATTATTATTATTATTATTATTATTATTATTTTGCTACATGTACCTATTTTAGAAATCAAGATTTAGTTTACTTTTTTCTTTGAGCTCAATAATCAAATAAGCTGGTCACAAATCCAATTTGTAATATGAAGATTAATTTTGAAATATGAACCAGGTTGCAAATCCAATTTGAAATACGAGGATTAATTTGAAATGTGAACCTATTGTACTCTGTTTAAGATATATGGTAGTGATATGAACTTAGGCTATTTCAATAAGGATTTTATTGAACAAAAATTAATAACTTTATTAATATATAGTTTTCTCAATTATATATCTTCATACTTGTTTTTTAATAACTTTTATTCTACAATGAGTATTCTATTAATATAAAATACAATTTAATTTTCACTATAACTAATTTGAATTCGACAAATGAACCTTAATTTATCTTATAGAGAAATTAGTAAAATTCACATATATTTTTTAGAAATTATACTAAAAAAACTAACTTAAGAAATATCTTTATTACACCATGTGAGTCGTGATATATATAAAAGAGTGGTTCACATAAGAACAAGCCTTAGTTTAAAAAATGTGAGAATGTTATTTTTTATTCTTTTTTATGTTATTTGTGCATGTGCACATGATGACTGCTAGTTTGTGTTCATCATGGAATCGGTTATTTATTATGTTAAATTATATTATATGATACTATGAATGATTTAGTCATACTTTATTTTTCATTTCTTTATTCGTGGAAAATTTCATCTTTTCACACTTGTTTATAAGTAGAGGTGACCATGACTCGGTACGGTTCATAGATTTGAAGATCTTTAGAATCGTACCAAAAATTGTAACTACTCAATTCGAAGATTTTTATTTTTTGGTTTAATTTGGAATTTGGTACTATCGAGCGGGTCAGATTGGTCCAATTCGGTTCGACGTTACGGAGATTTCTAGTTATTTTTTCAATATTTATTCGAAACTAACTAGTCATATTCAATTTTAATATGCTTTTTAAGAAAAAAAAAATCTTATTGTTGATATCCAAGTTGAGCCACTAGGGGCCAACGGGCCGAGAACAGGAAACCGGATGATGACGACCCCTGAAAGCTGGGTCGGCATTCGAGTTAAAGAAAGACCGGGCTCGACGAAAAGCAAAGTTGACAAGACCAGTGCATAGAATAGCCTCTTGGAACAGCACTACGGGTGCCCAAAGTATGATGTCGAACCCGAACGCATGCCAATCCAGAAAAAGGAGATCGCAGAGATAAGAAAATGAAGATAACTCAAGTTGTGGCGAGGGTTCGACCTGAAGATCCGACAACACCGGCGCCCGGATGCATCTGAGATTAGAAAATGATAGAATATTGCCACTCGTCAAGCAATGATTGCCAATGGACGCGCCACCCTAGTCTGCAACCCTACTGCGCATAGAGTTGTAAGGCGGCCTGCTAGCATTAAATGCTCCATATGTGTGCATTTAATGTCTGACAAGTAATCATTAGAATAACATCAGACCGCATTTAATGCTTGTCAGAGCGGCGTGCGCCGACCTGTCATTCCGAGTTACTGTGCGAAGTGACAGGGTGAAAAGTACCAGATTAGTGTTACTATAAATAGGAAGAGCCCCTCATTTATTAGGGTGGGTTGATCTCTCTACCAATTTTTCTCTCTTTACATTTACTCTCTCAGCATTGTAATAAATCCCTGTAATTATCCCAACTGTAAGAAAGAAGCCGACCTCATATCTAGAGGTCGACCTTGTAATTAAGTAATAAAAACTCATTTTTTCCATAAATCCTCCTTTAATCATCCTTTATTCTTGAACTTATTTACTCCGAATATAAACTAACCATTGGCTGATTTCGATCGTCAACTGTTTGATGCTAGAAGGAGGGCACCATAAGTTACTTGGTGTCAATATTTCGACCTTGTGGAATATATCACACCCGATTCTATCTTTTTCTCTACCTTTTCCTCAAAAACTTGTTGAAAATGACTTCATCTGATCACAATGAATCCACTCACCAGTCCGAAGGTCAGACGTGCCGCCGTGACGGCGAGGAAACATTGCGCGCCACCAACCAGGGCAGCCAACTGCGACCGCACAAGTCCCAACCTTTCCGACAGTCATGCAACATCCCGACGTCATCAAATTCCTAGAGAATACTTTCGCCAAAGCACTGTCACATGGCCGGAGCGACCACCGCACCCGCGACATAGAGTCCGGCACACTCTGCTCAAAACACCCCCAGTCTCACACAATCTGAGAATTTCCTCTCTTCCATCGTGATCGGAGCTGTCTAGAGTAGTACGATTGTCGCCGCAGTAGGAGAGTAGACTACCATTTTTTCGGCGTCGTCTGCCGTGTCACTAGAAGAGCCTATGTTATTGTCGGAGGAACCGAAGGACGCGGATTTCGAAGAAGTCGACATAATCGAAAGAAAAACAAAGGCAAGTAAAGTTGGCAAAGTGAAATTACCGAGAGGAGAACGCCGAAGAAGCTATGTAACTTGCTCTGAAAATTTGTTCGCTCAAAATTGCAAAAAGTATAGAAATCCGATAATTCCTAAGGATCCCATATATATAGATAGGCCCGACCAATCAGAAGATGCCACGTGGTAAACATTTAAAATTCTAAAGTTTGAAAGGGTGCGATCCGTTCACATCTGGCAGTTTTTGCCTTTAATCCGACGGTTGGGGAATCGCCGCGTGTACCCCACGTGTACGGAAGTTAAAGCGGCACGCCTTTTGAGGAGAAAAAGTAAAGCTTCCAGTGCACGCCACATTAAATGCCCGTCTCTTCGCCTGGCATCATCAATGCTTGAAATGTAGACGCGGTCCAAGCTATGCACTCCATTGAGGACGGGTTGATTGACCAACTTGAACTCAATCATGAAAAGATGACCTCGGAAGAAATGTAGAAGACCTCCCATCCAAGCTCGGGGGCCTGTATGTTGATATCCAAATTGAGCCATGAGGGGCCCACGGACCGAGAACAGTCAACTGGATGACGACGACCCCTGAAAGTTCGGTTGGCTTTCGGATTAAAAATGACTGGGCTCGACGAAAAGCAAAGTTGACGAGACTAGTGATAGAATAGCTTCTCGGAACTGTACTTCGGGTGCCCAAAGTACGATGTCGACCCCCGACGAATACCGAACCGGAAA